AGACTAACCCCATTCATAACACATTGTTCCTATTCAAAACTGTTTTAAATACTTAAGTCTAGCTTTGACGTTTTTCCTGAAGTAAATTTAGATTTATTTGTTTTATTTAATCTAATTATAAGAGTGCTAATTTTACCACGGTACATTATAATTATTCATACACTTTTTATTGCTCCATAGGCTTTCTGCGTTGAATTAATAAAACTCTACAGCTCCCTGACAGCTGCCTGCCTCACCGAACCCTCATCATTGTCTGATGCTCAGTCTGGAGCAACTCCGAGCCCTGTTGCGAGGTTGGCAGGCCTCGAAAAGAGATTTCTTAACAGCATTGGCCAGCTTTCCTGCCTTACCAAAGATTGGAAAGTTGTGATGTGTCAGGTTCAACAATTCCAAAGTGAGGAATCAAATTCTTCCAGTTGTCTTTTCAACAAACACATTTTATTGCCTTTTTTCGACTCGAGGCTTTTTTTACAAATATTGTGGTGACCATTACCTCTTCTGAAAGTGTTTGTTGAAAAGATTCATCGGTTGATCTTACCAACAAAAGACGGTTGATTTACAATGCTCTGCAATCGTTTTATTTTACGATGAAGTTCAATATACCTATGTAACATTTTCCATAGTAGGTACGAAGAGTAATTGGGTTTCAATGAATCTCAGAGGTAACATTGATGGATAGACTTCATTTCGTATGAAAGTTCATGAAGAAGAGATTCGAAGATCGATCTCACCAGAAGAAGACAGCTGATTTTCGTGGTACGGCAGCCTTTTGGACGTCCTTTTTCGTTTTGTGTGAAAATGGACTGAGCTTTTGTTCATCATATGACGGACATCCTCAGAGCTGTAACTCATTCTTGTAAAAGTACCACGTTAACACTAGGTCAAGCAGATTGTCCGGCTTTATCTTAACTTTTCTTCTTGATCTAGTGTTGACGTGAAACTTTCATAGTAATGTGTTCCAGCTCTGATGATTGCCAAATATACATAATCGATAATCCCACCCTAAATGTGATTTTTGAAATTCATGTCTTACTCTAAAGTCGTATCTGCCCTGTGTCCTATTGGCACTTGTGGTAGAATGGCGTAGTAGTTACATGTCGAAAAGATACGCTGCGCTACTTTGATCTGATCTCGTTGACGGTGTTGATGAGACTCAGGCGAGGTGAAATCCAGTGACATTGTGGGAAAATTCAGATGTCAGTCCTTAATCACCTTATGCAACCTATGGTAACTAGTTCTCTAGCTACTAATTTTTTGTAGGAAAATCATATATCAGCCCGTCCTCACCTTAGGCTATCTCAGATGAATCATTTTAGGCAAAATCTATTGATGGTGTAAAAAATGCTCACTTTCATCTAATCATTGATATGACATATTTACTTTTACCCTCGTTTTATAATTTTAACTTTAGGCCGTCTTAATGCCTTCAATCATGAAATGAGCCCTGACCAACTGGAACTTCCACAACTTGATGTTTCTTCTCTCCGACTGTCTGGGGCCTTCACCCACCTGCTGGCTTTAGCTCGGACCGGAATTCCTCTAGCAGTTGCAATGCCTGAATTGGTACCTTTAGGTCCCGTGCCCTCAGCCTGCCCCTACTTTGCCACCTACATCGTTTTTGCCCGACAGCGAGGCCATGTAGCCAGACTGACCTCCAAGGTCTATCAGATTCAGCGACGTCTGATTGACTTACTTCACGATTCCACCACCACTCGTCTCGAGGACGGCTGGTCCGACGGTTTCCATCACGACTGGTCCAACCAACTGACTCAATTCCGCGACCTGGTGCTCCGTCGTCACTGTCTGACAGACCGACTGTCCGACCTCCAGACAGAGCTGGCCGACTTGGTACTCTGGGCACGAGGCGTCGACAGAGCTGAACGCCTCGGCCCCTTGCCAAGTGATCCGGATCAGATCGGTCGTCAACGCGGCCAGATAACCAAACTCAACAGATGCCTTGGTTCCGTTGATAAGCAGCTCGCTGAATTAACGGCCATTCGGGAGCCGGAACTTCGACGCCTTCAGGCGATTGTTGATGATCAAGACGCATGGCCTCGCATTCTGTCGAAGGACCTCAATGCATTCAAAGATGAGTTGGCTCATTTGGACG